TTTTGATGAAGATCAACTGATTGACAACGCACTTGCCTCAGCTATGCATGCTACCAGGTGTGCTGTGAATGATGCAGTAAAGACCTCGCCAGGCGCTTTAGTTTTCAACAGAGATATGGTAATGGATATCCCACTCATTGCTGATTTGAATCTTATCAGAGACAAAAGACAACACCAAATCGATGAGAATCTTAGAAGAGAAAATGCTAGGCGAATACCCTTCAAGTATCAGGTTGGACAGCAGGCCTATATGAAATTCTATAAACCAGACAAACTGTCTCAAAGATTACATGGCCCTTACCCCATCGTGGAGATCAACACTAATGGAACTGTGGTGTTACAAAGGAGCGACAACGTACGTGAGACTGTCAACATCAGAAAGCTTGTTCCTCACAAAGAAACTAATGCAAATGCAAATGCCACTGAAGAAGAGCCCCCTGCTGGAAATATCGAAGATATGATTGCTACAGTTTAGTAGTGATACTGCAAGCGATATCACTGTGTGGGACAATGCAATGGATACGTACGTACTGGAAAGGATACATACGTACTGTATCTGAAGTATACGTACGATACGAAGCTTCGAAGAAAGGAATGAAGGAGCATACCATTCCTACGTACCTATCGTAAGGTACTGTTCATATCCATGTATCATAGGATCCATCGTAAGAGGTCCGAGGATCGTAAGAGGTCCAAGATATCGAGAGTTAGAATATCTTACGAAGAACATAGACGTCACGAGTCCGGAATGGAAGAACCTCCATATAGATTCCCTACTAGGTCTACATGAGGTTCTGATCAGAACTTCAGAATTCTCGTGAACGCGCTCGATAATCTTAATCTTATAATTTAATTTTCATACACACTTAAACATACTAAGAGTACACGTAATCTCGTGCAACGATCATCAACATGATGGATCGTATGATCTATATATATAAACAGTACCTTACAATAGGTACGTAGGAATGGTATGCTCCTTCATTCCTTTCTTCGAAGCTTCGTATCGTACGTATACTTCCGATACTGTACGTACGTATCCGTTGCAAACCTTAACCCTAATCATTCAATCGTGGGAGGATACGATTCAACCTCGAGATACGGTTTAACCTCAACCCTAATCGTAAATCCCGTAGGATTCATTCGTATCGTACGAGTGACTCAATTCAATCGTACGTACGAGTGAAGCATCGATGCTCGTTCGTACTAAAGCCGGATTTCATCACTCCGTGCTTTTTGTTAGCATTTTTATGGTGATTTCCGACCATGGTTCGAACGATCATTGGTGCTTCATTTGTTATTTGTTATTTGTTACGTCCCATGCCACCACCTGCAATCAGTTATATATGCTGGCATCTCATTCCCGTAACTTTATTGTTTTACGATGTTTCTTATAGTTCAAAACCCTACCGGCTCTACGACTAAAAAGATTGCTCCGGAAAGTTTCTGGAAATTCCACCCCCCCAGACCCCCCCTCCGCTTTGCGAACCAATTACAGTCAAAACTGTTTTAGTCTTTTTTTTATGTTTCGACTTCCATGATTGTTGCGGACATAGCCAGTACTACTAGTACGAATTACGGTAGTACAGTACAATATCAGTCACGATGCAGTCCTGTTTACAGGTACCGGTACGTAACGTACGAACTCGTACTGTACGCTCGTACTATGAGTACGAGTAAGAATTTGATCTCTTGTAGCATCTAGAAACGTTCCGTACGCGTACGTACGTACTTGAACGCAGGGCTGAACGAACGTTCGTTTATGATGTAAGTTTTTCGAGAAAAATATTCCCGAAACAAGTACGACTGACGTCAGACGTGTGCACGGATCATGGCATAAAAGGATTGTTATGTAAGGTACTGTATTGTTATGTACTGTACGAGCACAAACCTGTACATACGAGTAAAGTACCTACTCGTACCGGTACGATTGCCGATCGCCGATGATATTTTTTTTTCATGACCTGCTTCTGATCTCTCGTGCTGGCGCGAGAAAACTTGAAGGAGTTGCACGAAAATATTTAGTGTTTTCAGCCCCCTTCCCCACAACAACAACCTACTACATATCCATTTGTCGTAATATACTCCAGCAATGGAAACTGTGCAACTCAAGCCTTCTTTCTTGAGATTCAATGACAGGATCGCTAGCTTCTTTTCTTGACAACTATCTTACCAAGGCTGAAATGTCCATTTTAAGAATTGTCATGATGACTTCTTGTTGTTGGGATTCCAAAAAAGAGTTGAACTTCCTGCTGCTCACCTATCTAATCATTGCCAAAACATAAGTAACTCCAGAAATATAAGAAATCAGTACTAGCCTTACTGGTGTGAAAAATTCAGAACGTCTTTTTCTGTTGTGGTGAAGGAGAGTCACGAGAACCACACTCGACGAACACGAACACGAACACGAACACTTTGCGACATAGTAAGTCCACATCTGCCGAAGAAACACAAAATTATTATTTTGATGAAAAAGCCAGAGTTTCTCTTTGTATGATACAACGTGTATTTAATTATTCCATACCAAGATGAACAAATTCTGTCTGAAAGCCGCGAGGCATGCTGTAAAAATAATTCATGATCTTCAATGAGTTGTTAAGTACTACTTCTAAACTTCAACCCTATTGCTACTCTCAGAATCTTCAACCTGGAAGCTACGTGTATATGTTCCGGTGGTTCCAACTATTGGGTAGATAGCAGTGCTAGCGCTGCCATTGACAGCAACGACTTGCATATTAGAATCTCTGGCAATGTCACCGGGGACAACTGGTGCCTTGGGATAAGTATTGTCTCCACCCTCACTAGCATCAAAGTTCTTGTTACTGTTCAGTCTTTTCTGATACTTCGCTCGCTTGGCAGCTCTAGCTTCCTCAGTATTATTTTCACGAAGAGCCTGCCCGACCTTTCTCCTGGCAACGACATTCGGCACCAGAAACCATTGCTTGACTTCCCTATCCAATTCCAAAAATCGGCCTCCAACAGTATTTTGAATGTGATCCACGATTCCCTGCGCGACCTTGGTTTTTTCGTTCTTGTCACAGCCACGGTAGAAACTTTGTTGCTTTGTGACAATGTCCCTGTAGGTCTTGTTTCCTGGATGATCTAAAAAATAAAACAGCAAGAACAACAACAATCAAAAGGAGAAAATGCAGGGATAAGAGGAAAATGCGGAAGGCAGTAATCTTTTTTGCGTGAAGATCACTTACGATTGCTTCGTCCCCCTCTACCAAAAAGAACATCTTTCTGGTTAAAGTCGACGAAAACTTTGACTTCTGGAACAATCTTTCGCGATTTACGTTTGGCAGTCTTTTTCTTTTGAGCTGCAGGCGGAAAGCTTTTCCCCATGGATTTTGCAAATTCTGCTTGAGCTTGGGCTATAGCAATACCGGGAACTCCTTGCGGGACTTGAACGTGTTCTCGTTGTACAACAGTGGCGGCATCCGCCAACGCTGTCATTGGATTCCAATCGTCGGCACTTTCGGATGGTCCCTCTTCTTGTTTAGCGGCCCGTTTCTTCGGTGGCAAGGCACTACTATTTCCGTTTGTCTTGTGGGCGCTTCCATTTGTAAGCAAAGAGCTATTTCCAGCCCCAATACTGGAGTATGTGACTGCCACGTGCTTATTTCTGTAATTGACAGCCCACTGTAGGGAAGCATGCGTTTCTAGATCGGGTCCTTGTACTGCAACACCTGATGTCGAAGCGTCTTTATTTGCTCCCATCATCGCCATAGTGGCTGCAATATCTCTTTTGGTTGGCGACATTAATGCACTTGCATTTTGGCATCCGTCTTTCTCGTCCTTCTTTCCGTCCAATGGCTCTTCTTTCACGACTGCATTGCCATTGCCATTTGCTTCCGAGAGATCTGCCGGACTGGGCAGTGGCTGGTTCGTTGTATCATCAACCCCTTGTTCAAAGGTAGCACTGATGCGTCTCCCATCGTTTGTTTCTACTGTCATGTTAGAAATATTGGCTTCCTTTGCCAAGTACGACATAAAATCTTGCACCTTCATGCTACTAATACTACCACGACCTGCAACCACGCCGACACCATTGGCATCTAAGGTTGGCTTGTTCTTCGCGGTCGGATCGCTGCTACCGTTAGTCGAGAGACTAGAAATATTGTTGGCAACTGGTTGCGTACTCATTGTAGTGCGAGTCCTTGTACAGGTATCCTGAGTTGCCAAGCGAAGAATATCACGAAACTAAATACCAATACAGCACATGCAAAGGAAGAGTTGCGGGTTTGCCGAGGATCGAAGAGGTTGTATGTCTGGAGTGGCGGTGTGTACGACTGCGATGTGAGATTTCATGCCTGTTTGACTGCTTTTGTACGACAGTACGGTCGTAGCCTGCTGTCGTAGAAGGGGGTAAACTTGGAGCGATTTTTTGCTTTCGGTATCTGTTCTGAAATTTACGGTACCGGTACGTGAAGCCTGTTGGACCAGTGCCTTTTTTGGATGGGGAGGCACTGATGACATTCGCCACGATTGAGATTGCGACAGCGGTTGTATTACCACCGCGCCGATTGAAATGAGCAAATTAACGTCCGTACATCAACCTCTGAAAATACGAGTGCAACAGCTTATTACAGGTACGGTATGCAAACGTACCTGCCCTTTTACAGGGGTCATAAATTTAGAGGGGTGTGCATCATCATGTTGGAGCAATGTGTTCTGTTCTCAAACCACCCGTAAATACAGTGAGATGCTGTACGGTAACCTTCGAATACCTGGAACGTGACTATTCAAAGACCTCAACAGCGCTATTCAAAGTTGACGGACAGACTACATGAAGTTGATTATGCAGTACAATCGTGGGTTCTGAATGTGCGACAGACGTGCAAGAGGCTGCCAGCCTACTCGCAGGTTTTTTCAAAAAATTGAAAATAAATTTGCGGCGATCGGGAATGGATTGAGGAATTGAAATACAGAGTTCAAAATTATTGCCATTTCGGGTACTGTCGTAGTCTTGCTTACGCGTAACTCCGTTCGTTATTCGTTATGCTCGTATTCGTACTTCCACGAGCGGTTATGAAGTAGAAGTACGTACTGGTTTATACGTACAGCACCGTACATTTATCTGTTACTGTACGGTAGACGATTAAAAACATGAGATCAGACAAATCAAGAATTCGGAGCAACAAACTGATATGTTATGATTACGATACTTCGAAACTGATTGCGTAAGATAACTGCGAAAGCGCAAGGTGAAAATCCATGATTCTACTTTTAAAAAGGCAACGCCAAGACATCCAACCCCACTAGTATCGATAGAGGTGGAGGACGAATAAGAGACGAAAGAAAATCGGAAGCACGGGGAGTAGAGGCTGTTGTCACTCAAACGAACGATGTTCGGTTACAAGTATTTCAGCACTGATGACGATACCACTGATTCTAGCAACTTTTGGGGTAATTTGACTAATGTATATTCTACCCAGGATGATTTCACCTCCAGCTACGAAAAGGTCGAAGATATAACGGTGGATACTGTGTTGACATCAATTTACTTGAATGGTGTCCTATTCATTGCAATCATGCTCTTATATGAATGCTTACGGAGGTTGCTTCCGAGTGTCTATTCTTCTCAAATTAAACGACAATTTAAAATGACTGGTGGGGGATGGAAAACGAGTGAGACATCAAAGTCTACAGAGTCGTTCTTCAAAACCGATGTTTGCAATGCTACCCACGAAGATGATTCTGATTCTTACTTAAAGCTGAATTCTGATGGAACCGGGTCGTCGGATTTGTCGGGTTTGAGCAGGGACTCGAGATTTGATGAATCATCTTCTTTAAGAATTCCAAAAAGTCGCTCTTATTCTTTGCCGGATGTGATTTCACTGAATTGGGTTTTCAATGTCCTGGATGTGCCTTGGGATGTTGTCCGTAAACACGCAGGGCTCGATGGATATTTCTTTTTGAGATACGTACGAATGAATTTGAGAATTTGTTCGGTAACCTGCATATGGGCATTCCTTTTTCTGATAGAATGCTACGCTGGTGGTTATAATAATGATCAACAAGGCTGGTATCACATAAGTGTTGCAAATTTAAGGGACAAGAGCTGGCGCCTATGGATCCCAACAATCTTTGCTTATCTATTCAGCGGATTCGTTTGCTTTGTCATGAAGCAAGAGTATAGACATTTTCTTGAATTACGAATGGATTTCCTTGCACGTGGAACTACCTTCATCAATCCACAACATCATTACTCTCTGATGGTAGAGAACATCCCCCATGAACTTCGAAGTGAAAAGGCCCTCTCAGACTATTTTGAATCCCTCTTTCCTGGGAAAGTACACAGTACTAGCATGGTGCTGAACCTACCCGACTTAGAGTCCGTTGCCACACGATGTATGAGAGCTTGTCGGAGGCTTGAAAAAAGCATTGCCTACTACTATGCGACTGGGAAGAAAGCGACCCACAACGTCGGAAGTCCCCGGATGACTATTCTTGGAATTGATATGGCACCGTGTGATAAGTTTTGTTGTGGTTCTGGACCCAATGTTGTGTATTTTGACAATAGACGTATGGCAGAAAAACCACAGAGGGGTATACACGTGGATTCTATTTCATATTACACCTATGATCTTGCAGAGATGAACAGACAAATGTGTAGTATGCAAAAAATCAAAGAAGAGATCGCCTTCGAAGGAACAGACCACCCTGAAGCCAACAACTGGTTCACGAAGCTTGTTGTAAGTGCTTACGAAATGGCGGATGAAATCATGCTTGATTCTGCCGAAGATAATGCCCTACGTACAGCCTATATTTCCATTGGTGAAACTGGAACCCCCATTCCACAGGCCGAACTAATGGGCGAGAAGACAATTTATGGAACACTGCAAGGCGTAGGTATTTCAAAACATTCCCAAGGAAGTTCTTACGTCGACCGGCCTCTCGCCAAGTCGGAGAGTGATACAAATTTACTTTATGGCGTAGATGATGCTACATCGTGCAGCAATGATAGCGTAAGGTCGAAGAAACAAGAAGAAGCACTGGTGAGTTCCACGAATTTAGCTGGTGTATTACACTTTCGTCTCCCACGCATAATAAGAATTCTTACCATTTTCACATCTTTTTCAAAAAACTAACAGGGCAAAGCCAGGTCTAGGCGACAGCGCAAGCTAGTAACGCCAGGAGAGAAAAAGGGGATTCTGCGCAGGTGGGCAGGTCGACTTGGTCTCGACTTCGTTGTATCTGGAATCAAATTCGCAAATCGTCAGATCGGTAAGTTGTCTTGAACCCTGATCAACTAATCTCAAAACTCCGTATACGTACTCATCGATTCTTTTCGCTTCTAGATAATGCTGTGGATGGAGTTCTTATACGATCGAACGTGTCGTCAACCGGGTTTGTTACATTTCTTGATCTCACTTCAGTCACCACAGCAGCTAGTACACCATTAACATCAAAGCCAGAGATTTTGGATGTTTGTGTAGCTCCAGAGCCAAAAGATATTATCTGGAAAAATGCACACATTTCATTGAAATCTCAATCCCGTAGAGAGAATAACACCAATTTACTTCTGGTAATAATTGGGCTGTTATGGATTTTGTAAGCTTTAAAAATGCTGAATGCGTTTACCGGCAGAACACAGAAATTGTTTGAAATATTTTGCGTGAAAAAGTCTCATACAAACTGCGTGTTCTGTTCACTTCAAACAGTCCGTTGGCGACGATCCAAGCACTTGCAAAGGCAGATTATATTGCTAAGATACCGGGGATGCATTGGATTCTCACGGCTGGAGGCGGTAGTGTATCTCAATTTGTGAATGGTTATCTACCTGTTGCCGCTTTGCTCCTCTTAACGATGATCCTTCCTCTTATTTTCGAATTTCTCGCAAGGAACTATGAGAGACGCAAAAGGTTGTCAGATGTACAAAATTCGATGCTTGGGCGGTATTTCTATTTTCAGGTACTCAATCTGTATGTTTCTGTGACAGCGGGTAGTGTCTGGAAGTCACTGGCCGATATTATTGACCATCCGACTAGCATATTGGGCCTTCTTGGGGAATCCATGCCATTTATGGTTGGATATTTCGTTTCTTTGTTAGTTACAAAAATTCTTGTAGGTCTACCTATGGTGTTTCTACGATTTGGTGCTTTATCAAAGATGTGTCTGCGAAGAATGCTATCACCACTTTCGAAACTCACGCAACGTGAGCTCGACGAAATATATTCCCCGGAGAATATTCTTGTAAGTATTCTGAAATCAAATCGCTTCTTCAATTGTATTACTACTACAATGCACTTACCACTCTCGTTTTCTGCATTTATTTTTATTCAGTACGGATGGGAATTCCCGGCACAAGTTTTTGTTATAATGATCATATTTATGTATGTGGTAATATGCCCGATGATTCTTCCTTTTGGGACTCTTTACTTCGGGTTTTCCCTCATTGTTTACAAGAAGCAGATACTATACGTATATCAGCCGGTGTATGAAAGTGGCGGAGCAATGTTTCCTGGAGTTCTTCAAAAAACTGTATTTTCACTAGTCTTGGGTCAGCTTACACTTATTGGGTACCTTTTTACTCGAAAAGCCGTATTCCAAGGTCTTTTTCTTTTCCCACTTCCTTTTGGTACAACCTGGATCATGCGCTACTTTGATCGACATTATGCCAGTAAGTTTTAAAACACTCTCTCTTCAGCTTTTACCGTTTCAGTGACTTAATATTTCTCACCGTGTTTGTTCTTTTCACCAGAGTCGTCGACGAAGTTGAGTCTTGAACGGGCACGAGAATATGATCGTGTGAGTGAATGGCTAGCGGCAAACAAAATTCAAAGGAATAGCGAAAAAAATTATCAAGGTACAAGCTTCGGGGAAAGTCACGCAAAAGCAGAATACCGATACGGAATCGAAGGTCGAAGGGTTCAATTTCAGAAAGATTCTTATCGCCAGCCAGTTCTGACGCGACAGCCAATGAATCCTAAGAGTTATCGCAGAGACCAGCAAGACCCTGAAACTGAACTTTGTATAAAACGATTGCAAGAGTTGACAGTTCGTCACAGCAGCATGAGTGAAACTCATGAGTCTATGAGTATTGTCGCAGGTTCTGACGATTCAGGTCACAATAGTCATTCACACGTAGTTTAAAATGTAATATTTCTTCAATTTTCCATTCTGCCTAAATAGTAATCTCCCCCCATCAGGTTTGTGCATACCAAAACAAGCAACTGCAAGTTAAAAAATACTGCTTTAGTCAAGGATGATACAAATCTTTTTTGCCTGTCAATTATCACAATGACGTTTCTATTACCATGGTTATTTTCGTTAGCTATCTTCTGGATGAGGTTTCTGCTCACAAACTTTCGAGAAAGCGCTGTTTGCGAAAATTCAGACATGTTGTACGCATACCACGGGAAAACACGGTCGAAAGCGTCGTGATTGGCAAGGTAACAGTGAACACATAAGCATGAGTCACAAACCCCTTCCTTTGGCCATTGTCCACGAGGGGGCTCTTCGAGGGAGGGAGTTCGGTCTTTGAAGAGGTGCATGACTTCGATAGAGTAAACATTTCATTCACGATACGACACAGCATCCTGCTTCTCCGCCCGAGCCTGTCATCGTGTGGAATTTGTTAGGTAGACTGCCTTCTGTTAATACAAAGGCATCGTTTTCCTGATTCGAAGAAACAGCAGCGGCGATTCGTGAGCAGGCCTTTGACATATTTTCAGCCTTCTCAACTTTTTCCAACTTTGCCTTTAGAAGTTTTACTTCAGCCTCCATATCCTGGACTTCGGTGAGTCCAACAATCTCCGACATTTTATTGATTTCCTTTAGCACAGGAGCCGCGTTCCTTTGAAAAGTTCTTCCCTTGAATTCCTAACTTTTAACGAGTAGCGTTTGCCTATCCGCTTGCTCCAATTTATCCAACGATCTAGTACGGTACAAACAGGGCCTCAGTAAAATAAATTCGGATGTTGTTTCATTTAATGTTGTGTGTTCGTACCGGTACAAGTAGGGTAAAGTACCGGTTACTACCGTACATCGTGTTTTTCGCTGTTGTTTCGGTCAGTCATGAGGGAATTGAAAAATCACCCAACTAAAATCTTTTCATCGGCATACCGGTAGACCAGTTTGCGAGCCAGCCTTCTCAAGATAAACAGAAAAGAAAAAAGCAAGAGTACTACACTATGTACTTAATACAGTACTTCTAGTGTACTTAATACTTCCTCGGTCCCCAATTAAATGTCCCTTTTGCACCTATACTACCAAAATAAGGTCATTATTTGGGCGATTGGAATGCTTTTTTTTTTTTTTCTTCAACAGATCTTGCAGATCTCTTATAAACAATATATACAACAACAAGTATATGGATCATATTAATTGAAAGAAGCGTCTGACATACTTGTGGCATTTACTTAAAGAGGGCGTTTTTTGGCATATGATTTTCATTTTACCGCTGGTTGAAAGGGTTCTACTACCGGTCATTTAACAACGCCACCAAGAGATAAAAAGCCAGGAATGAGAGAGCTTTATCACAATATTCTTATCTTAGTTAGTATTGAGAAGGTTCCTGCCCGGTCATTTCTTGTTTGAAAGAGGTGCACTGTACCATTGTCAAAATTTCATTTGCTGTGTTAATAGTATGTGTAATTTTATGTGTGAAAATAAATTTTAATCACGCAAATGCTCATTTCCACTTTGTAGTACTGATTCTACGTGTTCTACACAGTCATATTCAATCATATTCAATTTGGGGTTAAATAAAACTATTCATGAGTGTTAATTGAACTCGAGGACACTCTTTGGGGACAGCAAAAAAAGCGTCATTGGTACATTTAATTGGGGACAGAGGAAGTATTATTTTCTCTATGCATACGTACGTAAGTGTATCATATTACATACATACAGTAGGGCTTGTACCTCTGCACTTTTTCAGCGTTTTACTGTTCTACTACCTCCATACCTACGGTAAATATTGGTGCAGTTTGCCCTACTTTGTTTTTTCCAAAATAATGGTGCAGACTTTACTACTACTTAACAGATTTTGGAGTTTCAGGCCATTGAATTCTAGAAATGACTGTGTATGACTTTGTACAATACGTAGAATCAGAACTGTAGATAAAAATGAGCATGAGCATAAATAAAAATTAATTTTATTTTCTACACAAGAAAACACACTGCTCTATTAACACGACAAATACTAAAGTTTGCATTGACAATGATTGTACGGTGCACCTCTTTTGACCGGTAGAACCCAACTGACAATATTTTCATATTCATAAGAAAAAATAAGCTTTTTTGAAGGTTTATTCCATTATTGTTGCTTGCACGGCATTGTTACTAGTCATAACACACTCAAAAAGTATTAAACAAGATCAACATAATAAAAAAGAAGCAGTCAAATTGCCCAAATATTGAGCTTCTTAAACTAACCTGAGAGGTGCAAACTACACCAATATTTAGGAACAGAGGTAGTAATTTTCAATGATGAAAATGCTTTGTGTTGAATCGATAGGTGCGTACCGTACACTGCGTCAAGTATAGGGTCATTCCCGGAAACAAAGAATCTATGCTGACATACTTTGCATCCATGACAAAACGGGAATGAGTAGGTAAACACATACTAGAATCATAGATATAGAATTATGGTGCACTACATGCGCTTAATTTTGGAATGTGGAATTTTGGTGATTGCAGCACCAATTAACAGAAAATAACTGTATTCTTGGTGGGTTTGGGGTTGCATTCTTACCAAATATTGAGAACACCACATGATGGTGCTACCACTGGTGCGCTAAAATACAACCACTACTACTAAGTAATGAGAACACATCATGGTTCCAGCAAGCAAGCCAAAACAAATCCAAAACGCCAGGTGAACCACAAGTCACTACACAACCTCCAAAGAACTCATACATAATAACAAGGAGTTCTTATCTACTACTAGCTAGCATCCTCACTGCTAAACACACTGTGAAGACAGGGAAGAATCCTGATGGACTCATGATGTCAACAGGAATTAAAAGTTGAGAACCCTGAGAACCCCCTTCTCCTGTGGATGAGGAACTGCTTGGAATGTAGCAAATTGCATGATGTAGTTTGAGGCATTGATTCCAGCATTGATTCCACACACACACACAAAATCCAATGTCAAGTTTGCAAGATGGTTGGGTCATCCAGGAGGTCATGATCCCTTTGTACACTCCAAACAAGACAATATGGCTTGCCAGCCATGGTGGTGAATGCTGAATTGACCACCACTTTAGTGCCATACAAGTCATACATCTACTCCATCTTCTTGTAGACTCCATACTCTGACATGGTGCTATCATGCCAAGATCCTGGGCAGTTGAATATGGTTGCCCTAATTTTTCCATCTGGGGCAAAGACAAAGACACTATTGACATATGTATCAAGAACATATATTGTACTGCCAAGTTTGAGTAGGTTTGCAATCCAAGCTTGAGGTCAACTGCAGCGTCCCAGACCAATTGCTCTCCAATGAGTGGGTATTTTCACCAATAGCTGCAAAATATGCATGGATATCCTCTCTGACAGGAGCCTATTTCAATTTTTTATAAATCAATGTTTATGGGAATGACTCATTGGGTGAACCATTGTGCGAAGTAGTTCCAGAAGTTCTAAGGTGCATTGTTGCTGTTCTACTAACACCCAGTTCTCATTTGCTTTTATTTGCTGCTTCACTCTGGGGCTCAACTGTCCCTCAATTGATGAGAACAAGTTCTTGAGGTCCCCTCATAGTAGCACTTGAACTTCTTTATCATAGTACTAGCACTCAAACTTCTTTCTTCCAGCACATTTTGCCTTGTCTAGCCAAGTTTGGTTTAGCAGTTGTGCCTTCTTGTTGGTATCCTCAGTGCAGATTCCATCACCACCACTGGTGGACCACTGGTGGTGGTGTACTTGTAGGGATATATCAGCAGTAGGATGAACTCATCTTCTGATAGTTGCTTGAGAGACAGCAGTGTAGCCTTAACATGCAACTTCTTCTTCCTGGCCATCACCTTCACTCCTTCAAACAGCTTGTCATATTGCTGGAAACTGGACCCATTGGTAATGGGCCCCTTGAGTTTGTCTTGGTTGAGACCAGTAGATATCTGGTCATTTTGGGATTGTCCTTGGTCTGATGAGCCTCCATTCTTATTCTGATTCTGATTGCTGTTTTGCCCCTTGTGAGAGAAAGACAAATCTCCTCTGCTGTTGCTGCTGCTGGAGTTATTGGCTTCTGCTTCTTGTTCTCTGGAGCTCCCTGTCTTCAGAGTATCCATCTTGGAGTGTTCTTTGTGTAATCAGAGGACATGTCAACTCAATAATCCGTACATGGTCTTGGAGGTCCTATATCAAACTGCTCAACAAAAAACTGGCTGCTAGTGGAAACTGCTGTGGTGGTTTCACAACTGTTTGTACTTTGTCAAACAAGCCTTGCCTTTCCTTTATTTTCATATACAATGAATCAATTGCTACACTACTACAAAATCTTAAAGAACTAGTACCACTGATGTAATCCTTTTGGTTAAATAAATGAAAATAAATAATGAGCACAGTGAGGTGGTCAGATTTCATTTGACCAAGCTATCTGTTACTCATCTTCTGCTCAAGTTCTCTCCAAATATTGGATGATTGGATGGTATTGGCATGTGCTACCACGTGATTGGAATTCCAGTAATATCAGTGATCTTTTGTGGTTGCACTGCTTCATATCTCAATCCAATGAAAAATGGAGGTGCAGCATGTCATACGTAATAAATGTATGGTCAGTATGTTATGCTGCACCAATGTGGTCACGCTKGGATGCCTTGGCACGCCGTATTCCAACACTTTGCACCAGTGTAGGAATTAACAACACAAGTAGATTTGATAGGTGAAGTATGTATGGTTCAAACAAATGCTACAAACCAAACCTAATTCTTGTGAGAAGTTGTTGATGAGTAGCTTTCTGAAGAGTTCAACTGTTGTATTGAGCAAATGGTGTTTCATGATCTGTGGTTCACCTTCAATCTCAATCTCACAACTACTGACTGATGCCACAACTAGGTACTCGATGGCAGATTTACTGAGAGTAAAGAAAGACATGATTCCGCTGTTGAGGAGCCCTAATTTTAAAAAAATACTTCTATTTAGTGTAATTGTAAACGCTGCTGAGCATACACCATAGCGTGCAATCCTAGCAATCATTGTGAATATTGGAACACAGGTGCTTTATCCTAATAAAATGACAAATACTATTATTGTTCCTTCCGAAAAAGAAATATCGTAGTCATCATATTCTGTGCAGTTGATGTATGTTGCGATTGTTCGGCATCTTCCTAAATCGTTTATCTTAACGCAGTCACAGTTGTACAGACATTAAGTCAACTCGGGACAAATACGATCGACCAACTCGGAATCCGTGTAGCCATCAAATTTGGTCCCTATGCGATCCTTGTACCACTGGTGCGGAGGGAAGGAAAAGTCGCCATTGCTATTTTGTGAAGTAATGTTTTCTTTATCGAAGGTGACAATCTGGGACTTTTTGTTGATTTTAAAGATCCTATCCAAATCCAAACCTATGGCGTGGTAGGATTGCATATCCATGAAGTTGTTTCCAAAACCTGCAACGAAAGATGGAGACTTAGGATCATTGTTAGTCGCTTTTCGAAAGGGTTGAACGACATTATCCCACAATTTTTTTGCTTTAAACTTTTGAGTACTCTTTGTAACTATCTCCATGATCAGTAGCTGCGGTAGTTTCCCTCCAAAGCCGAGCAAGGGTCCAATTGGTAGAGTCTCGTTTCCTTGTTTAAGGGTTGATAAAAACTTGCGCGTTTGATTTGCAAGGCCTATTGGCCTTGATGTCAAATATACAACTTGCGAAGAAAGTGACAACTTTGACAAGATTTGGCAGATTCCCGCGTGGCATACCTTATCGTATCGTTGTGTAATGATTGTACCGAGAACGCCTCGTGCGTTTGATTTTGTTATCGTTCCGTCGATATCGCTAATGACAACGGAATCGTCGTGCTTCCACAAATATATGTGTGCGTGAGCAATTCCCACTACCTGCTGATCATCCAGTAGCAAGTATCTTATAGGATTCCTTCCAGGTTTTAAAAACGCTTTCAGAGTAGAGGACGGGTCGTCGTTGCTTTCGACTGCCCCATCTTTGAATTTAGAAAGCATACCCGGTTGAATGTTACCCGCAGATGGGTGACAGCATCCCCAGAATCTTTCTTCATCGAAAGTATTACTCTCTTTGTCTTCATCGGTGTCAGGTTCATTATTGTCGTTAGGTTTGGAATGCTGCCGGATGATCGGAAACCATGCCTTTGTTCCAGCATGGTGGTTCACTTCCATCACGATATTGTGGGTGTTATTACCATCGGCTTCGTTTGCACCCTTAAAACTCACCAAGAAGTCAGAGTTTTGGTGGAATTTTCCGTCCTCGCCTTCGACGACGATCACATCGAAAGCAGAGCCTTCAAGTACTTCTCCTCCTCCATCAAAATTGAATGCTTGGAGACAGCACAAGTTTCCAAGGATATTCGATGACCATGAGTGTTGCTCGCCCATCAATGCGTATTCATCATCATCAACGTAGTTATCAATAGCCATCGCGTAATTCAATGCAAAACCAATGACGGAAGCAGCAACGATATAAACGGCGGCGGCTAGTTTTGTCGCTCTTTTGTTCGTGGAACGTCTACGGTTCATTCGTAGACTCAAGACATAAGATATGAAAGCGAAGAAAATACCAAGAGACAACGACCGATGCTGTCCATTTCGAATCGCTGATGATGGACTATGGGCTTGTCTACGACGTTTACTTCTACGGAGGGGTTGACTTAGTTGGGTTCTCTAGAAGAACATCATCCGCCATCCAGATATTTATTGACAGACGATGAGTAACGATTTGTAAACGAAATGAAAAAGTAGTGATGGATAGGGGCTCTTTCAAGCCCTCAATTTCAATCTTCAAGAAAAGTATTATTCGTACGCAGTACGAGTTCTCTTACGTATCTCCAGTACAATAGGATAGGTTTTCCATGGTGCTGTACTACATCTACTGTACGGTACGTACCGCACGTATTATTACAGTAAGAATCAAAACAGTTTTCGTCAACCGAGCAACCTACGGTACGGTACGTACTACCGTACGGTACGATACGAATCTTGAAAATAATAATAATATTGGAAGTCCAATGAGTCAATTTATTTTTTATCGCTTTCCGCCGTGTAACCACACTCGTTCCGTAGCCCACCATAAAAAATTTAGCAGGAAGATTTGTACAAGTACCTCAGGTACTACTCGTAGTACTCTGACTACGCTACTAGAGTAAAGTCCTGTACTGAGATGTAATTTTGTTTTGCTCATCAACAAACGACCACTCCTGACCTTCGACAATGTCATAGCTCATCGGAATCGTTTTCCTCACAAACAAGACAACGTGGGAAATATAAGTGAAACAATCATCGTTAGAAATGAGTGGACGTAAGATGACCCCAAAGGGTCAAATGTCTCGAGGGAACACACAACCGGGTACGTCAAGAAAAGTTAGACTTTGCGCATGAGAGCCTCGACAGTCGCTTTTCCGATCATCTTGGCAAAGTTTGATTCTCAATTCCACTGACGGCAACTGGATGGCAACATTTAAACCTGCGGCACATCGATTTTTTCCACCTTTCTAAAAACTCAATGGATTCTTGAGATGTGTTAATATTACTTGTCGACCCTCATGGATTCGTGTTTTTCTGTTTGTGTTCGAAACAGCGGTTATGATGATGCCACCCCACATTCGAGCTACGTTCATGCCAAACCCACCTATCAGACAGCTCCCGCCAGTCAAGAGCAAAAGAAGAAAGAAACCAACGGAGGGTGTGTTCCAGTTCATGGATAAATTTGAAAAAACACCTGCCCCCAAACGCATCGTTCAGCCGACTCCAAAATCTATGAAAAAGGCGAAGATGGAAGCTCGAACGAAGGGTCTCGACGACCAGCGCAAAGCGTTGATTGAAGATTATCGAAAAATTCAGAGAGACTGCGGTGGCGAGTACGAAGGAATGAATTGCTACAATACGCTTTTTGTGGGACGGTTAGCCTACGAGGTAACGGAAGGGAAATTGTTGAGAGAAATGGAGGCATTCGGACCCGTCAAGGACATCAAACTCATTGTCGACCAAAACGGAAAATCGCGAGGTATTGGTTTTGTAGAGTACGAAAATGAAGAAGACATGAAGAGGGCGTACCGTGGTGCTGACCGGATGAGAATTGAGGGCAGAGAAATTGTTGTGGATGTGGAGCGGGGCCACACGGTTCCGACCTGGTTGCCCCGTAGGCTCGGAGGAGGACTCGGCGGGACCCGGCTGGGKGGAAAAGACAAAAACGTGACGGCCCCCGGGAGGTTTGATCCGAGCCGGATGATGGAACGCTCTTCATCGGGAATGATGGGCGAAGAGCCGGGTGGAATGGGCCGGGGGCATGGACCACCGCCCGGCGGCGGATACTACGACGGACCACCCAGCAATTATGGCGGTGGCGGTGGCGGTGGATACGGAGACTATTCGAGAGGCGGTGGCGACCGCGACCGTCGGAGGAGGCGATCACGAAGCCGCAGTCCAGACCGTGGAAGGTACGCCCCGCGGCCGCGGTACTAGAATTACGGCGTCGCGGAACCAGAACAGGGAGAATAATAGTATCAAGTAAAGCTGTCTATCAATAATGCATGAGAATAGAAGAAGATCAAAGTTGCATGTGGAATTGCTTCTTTTGAGTAGCGACATCTTTTCTCTTTGACGAAACAATAAAAAACGATCGAAATGTTACGGTGCTATTGCAGGTCTATCGTCTTCTGAAACTTCGTGCTGCTTAATAGGTTCTTCCTCATTTAATACACATATCGGTAGATTTCCTTCTTGCACTCATATGTCTTTCTAACACAAGGTGACCTCTGGCTTGACACGGTAGCAGCACGAGACAACTAGTACTAGTACAACAAGGACCACTAGTATTGTCGACACTGGTACACTCCTCCTGCTTCTCCAGTACTGAACTGTGGTGGGAGTTGGCTGTACTAGTACTTCTAGTACTCCTTCACTCCATCATGTGTGGACTGTGCTTTACAATCACACTCCACTCCATAGTTCCTTACCTAGAGGCTTAGTGTGTGTCCTTGATTCCCTAGTAAATAAAACCTATTACTATGTCACACTAACATCACTGCAACAAGCAAGTATAGTACTAGTAGTAGTCAAAACAAATCAGACTCTCAGTGAGATGAGTCAGAAGTTTTGGGGATGTGATGGCTCCTGTTTTTTTTGTTCCATTTTGCACTATCATAAAATATAGGTTACTGGTTTCTCCTATCTATGGACACATAACAATCATTAGACAGATCAAAGAAATTATCTAAATTAAATCCCAAGGAGGGTTACTAGTAGTAGTAGTAGTAATCAAAATTTGAGTTGATTTTTTCTTACTGTTCTTTTATTTTTTAAGAGGAAATTGAATTTCAAGAGACTTCTAATTTTTATCTGTCCAATTAGCCAATCATATTGCTTAATTCTACAGAGTTTTAGTATTGTCCCTCATTCTAAGAAGAAAACGTCAAATGTTGAACAAAAACACCCTTTTGGTGTGTTTCCAACAGCTATGATGGCTAACAGCACCCCTGGCTTCCGGTACATCAGTCACATGTGTTTGAATTGCACAAAATCCCCCAGTTTCCAGCGCTAATTTAGGTTAGGGATGGTGATACCACCAATATTCAATGAATCAAGCAATATTATTGGCTCATTAGACAGATCAAAATTATTGAAAATGGTACAGTCTACCATTCCATGAGAAAATTGGATTCCAAGGGGTAAACTGTATTGTGCCATTTTTGATAATTTTGATCTGCATAATCAGCCAATCATATTGCTTGATTCCTAGAAAATATCCCAAACTCCAAATAAGTGCTGAGGAAAACCAAAAAAGATCTCCCCCCAGCAAACAAATGTGATGTAGGTAGTACATAATTGCGCTCCTCCGTATCGTAGTTTTGTACAATACTATATGTTGTGCATCAACTGAAACTACATTTCATAGGGCGTTCCCAATGTTAAGTTGACATTTGGAATGTTAGAAATAATGTTCAAAATGTTATTTTCTTAACATGATAAGGAACGTTATTCTGTCAGCGTAGTAGGAGGACTACGTAGATCCTAGTATTGTTCCAATAATTAGCATTCTTCAATGTGGTACTAGTAGTGCTACCTACCCAAAACAATTAATGGGTCTTGCACATAGGTCTACCTTAAAAACAAGGAACATTCAGACTTTTAAGCAGAGCATTCAGGACGTTAAATTGAAGCAAAAACCGCAGTACTCATTTCTACATAGCCTATCTTGATAACATTGCTGCTAACATTAACTTTGGGAACGCCCTGAAAAACTTAGTTTCAATTGATCCGCAACGCGTAAAACCGAAATACAAAGAACTTCGAAGAATATTTGGAAACTTGGACCAAACGTGAATTATGAATTTCTCTTTTTCCTTTTTTTTTCACGAGGGGAAAAAATTCGTCGCGCACCCCTCTAAAATTTATGAACCGTCCGGTATTTACGGTAAAATATGTTGGGAAACTCCATTCAGAATCAATCGACTTCTGTGCATTCCGGTCCATACGACAAACTCGTCGTCGAGCATCAAAAAACAAAAAATACAGGCCATTAAGTCAGTCATACCTCCGCACGAACGATACCGTAGTTCCATCGCGAGAGCTCAACAAAACTCTTGTACAGCAATTTGATACCGGTGGTTACGATACTGTAATTACGTAATTTATCGTATTCACCACTTTCACCGTCAAGAACCAAAAAAAGTCCCGAATTCATCTCAACATTCTGTTTCGGTTTTGACCATCGGACGGTTCTTGCATAATCGGCTCAAAACCACAGGCTTCTGGTACCAAGAAGCAATCGGAATACCTAGCACGATGGACTCTGCTGCGGCTGCAGCCGAGCGAAAACGAAAGCGTCTGGAAGCCTGGAGAAAGAGAGCGGCGTCAAACAATGCTGCTAGCAGTGCTCCCGCCAAGGTGCCCACCGTAAAGGTGTCGCTCTCGCTGAATTCCAAGGCGACTATGAAACTAAAATCGAAAACGATAAAGAAGACGAAGGGTTTGGCTAAGAGCAGAGCCGCCGGCTTGTTATCTCGTCCTCTGAATCCCTTCGGCGACGTAGACGATGACGACGACGGAGATGGCGAAGGGGACGATTCCGATGATGACAACCACAACAAACGGGGAACGAAGATGGGACTCGGCTTCATGACATTTTCGGAGAGCGATGCCCAACCAAATACAGATAAAGGTGGGGAGGACACAGCTACGTCGGGACCGCCTTCAAAGAGACGCCGGAGGGGCCGATGGGACTCTCCGGCCAAGCCGGAGCCCGTGGCAGCACCTGCATCGATGCTGCTGGAAGAAGGAATGTCCTCCAGACAGGAAGAAAAGGCCGTGGGAGATGCCCTCGACAAGTTCATGGACAAACTCGAGGCGGGGGCTCTGGGTAATGTTGCAACCCAGGTCAGGGTCGGCACGGACGGGAAGATTGGAAAAGAAATGCTATCGATCGACGTGGGGGGGAGCATGATGCGGGTTCCCAAGCTCTTCCACAACAAGCAACCACAGCCCTCACCAGTTTCTGGGGGGGTGATCACACCCGATATGATTGCCAAATTGTCCACAGCAGCCTCGATCCCCACTAAAGCGACACCAGTGTCGAAAGCCAAGCAAGCCAATCCAGAGGCCTTGTATACGCCAAGTGATTGGGAAAGCGGAGCCGGAACCGCCGACGAAGCCGACGAGAATGATACGGATGACGACACAAAAGAGCTAGAGGATGAAGAAAAGGCCCGGAGAGCCTTCATTGAGGCCTTGAAAACCGCAACCGGGCGGGTGGATGACGCAAATGATACGGAAAAACCCGGCCAGGGAGAGGCGGTCCTGGCCGCGGAAGTAAAGAGCGAAAAAACGCGGAGAGAACAACGGTTCAGGGACCTCGAACGCGAGGCAGAAAACGCACGAACCATGGCCGAGTTAGCGGGAGCTCCTGAAATCGGACGTCTCTACAACGATGTAGAAGGTGGTGTGATGGAAGAAGCCGAACGAAACCTAGGCGCTGCGATGGCGGCTCCCGACGCGCTTCAGGTTCTTGCAGAACTCAACAAGAAAAAAGAACTCAAGAGTGTGGACCATTCCATGGTCGATTACATAGACTTCAAGAAGAATTTGTATATTGTTCCCCGTGCCCTGGCAAAGCTGAACAACGACGAAGTAGCGAATCTGCGCGGGAAACTCAAGGTGAGGGTTCGGGGGCGAGGTGCACCCGCCCCGGTTGCCTCCTTTGAACAATGCGGTCTCTCGGAACGGATCATGAGGGTCTTGGAAAAACAAGGCATTCGACAACCCTTTCCAGTTCAGGCACAGTGCCTTCCGTGCATCATGGCTGGGAGAGACGTCATTGGGGTTGCAAAAACAGGCAGCGGCAAGACACTCTCCTATCTATTGCCAATGCTCCGACATATTACAGGTATGTGCCCATTTTTCTTTTTATTGTGCGAGAATGGATAGTATATGGTACACATGCTCATCGTTTCAATTGGCTTCCTTTCTTCGATTTTCACTTAGATCAACCTCCATTGGAACCCCATGAATCTGGACCAATAGGATTGGTCCTTGCACCAGCGAGAGAATTGGCCTATCAGATTCATTTGGTCTGCAAGTCGTTGACGAAACCTCTTGGACTAAAGTAAGTTTCCAGACCCTCAATCATTGTATGGTGATGGCATGGTGATTCAATGCCGACGCGTTGTCGATTCGATTGTTCCGGCGCAAACGTTGGCCCATTTCTAACAGAATGCTTTTGGTACAAGCTTCCAGTGTCTTGTTCCTGATGGATACTGGCAGCCACTACCCAACAATCAATTAGTGAATGGAGGAAACAAGTTGGCCAAAAAACTTTGTCTTGTTTTTATATCGTTTGCGTTGCAAAAGTGGAAATGGTTGTGGTAGTTTCTTTTTGATATTTTGACTCATGAATTTTTCCCCTGTTTCTTTTTGTTATTAAAATTTAGGTCCGCTGCCGTGTATGGTGGTGCCAGTGTTGCGGAACAAATTGGAGATTTGAAACGCGGGACACACATCGTAGTAGCAACGCCCGGACGACTCATTGATATTTTGACAATGCAATCGGGCAAGCTGCTCTCGTTGCAACGCGTTACCTACGTAGTAATGGACGAAGGTGATCGAATGTACGACATGGGATTTGCTCCACAAATCTCGGCCATCTTGGCTGCGGTTCGACCAGATCGACAAACGGTCCTGTTCTCTGCTACATTTCCGAAAACGGTTGAAAATCTTGCCCGAAAATCACTCAAGTACCCGCTCGAAATTATCGTAGGGGGGCGATCCGTAGCTTCGGACAACGTGTCTCAATACGCAGAGCTGGTTGAAGAGGACGATAAATTTTTCAGGTTGCTGCAACTTCTCGGAGAAAATGTAGACGAAGAAAAGAAGGCAATTGTCTTTGTCGACACACAGGTACGGGCCGACAATTTGTTCGAACAGCTCCTTCGAAATGGATACGTGTCTCTGAGTCTTCACGGGGGGAAAGAACAGGAGGACCGAGACTCAACTATTTCCGACTTCAAACGCAAGGATGGGCCCGGTGTACTAGTAGCAACGGGAGTTGCGGGTCGTGGACTCGACGTTCCATCATGCAGATGCGTCATAAATTACTCTTGTCCAAACCATTTGGAAGCATATGTCCATCAAGTCGGGCGTACAGGCCGTGCCAACAAGAAAGGAGTCGCGTACACTTTTGTCAACTCTACAGACGAGGCAAAGTACGCGCCCAACATTGTCAGAGCATTGTCAGAAACTGGTCAATCTGAAAATATATCACCCGAGCTCAAGGCCTTGTCTGATTCGTTCAAGGAAAAAGTTGCAAAAGGAGAGGCGAAATATGCAGGGTCTGGATTTAAGGGGCGGGGTTACACCTACGACAAGTCAGAAATGTCGGAGGCGCAAAAGGTTGCACAGAGCGAGAAGAGACAGGCCCTCATAGAAGCAGGTCTTCTGGATCCCGACGATGAGGACCCTCTGATGGAGAAGAATGACGACGCGGACAAATCAACGAACGACGAGAATGGCGAAGGAAAGTCGTCGGAGTCTTCGGACGCTGATAAAGTATTAGAACTTCATGCGAAATTGACACCCGAGTTACTAGCCCTTCCCGGAATGAAAGACGCTATTCTCCGACGAGCTGGAATTGTCAAGGATGGCGAAGAGAATGACCCGTCGTTGGGAAGACCAGTGCAAATGGGCAAAAATCACTTTCTGCAAGAGTTTGAAATTAATGACTACCCGCGAGAAGCCCGTTGGAAGGTTACACAGAAAGAGACAACAACTCGCTTGCAAGACGAATTTCAGACTGCAGTAACGCTGAAAGGTGTTTACGTTGCACATGGTCAAACCCCCGACGAAGGACAACGCCGTCTCTACCTACATCTAGAGGCTACAAGTGAAATGGTTTTGCAAAATTGTGTTGTTGAAATTAAACGATTGTTGAACGAAGAAACATTGCGAGTTGGTGCAAAGTCCTCTTCCGGTACCAGTAGCCATAAATACAGCGTACTGGGTAAATAATTTATCTTGGAGACATGGGTTGTAATGAGGCACTACGTCGTTATGGAATCTCTATGTGATCTGTAAGTCCTGGAGGCATACTAAAATAAGTACAATTATTCAAAGATTTTGAATAAAGAAACTACACTTTTCGAAATTTACAGAACCTATTTAACATTCAAATAATTCGAGTTCTCTCCGCTAAATTGCCTATTATCAACATAGAGGACGGTCAAGGTTGAAAGGGTTAGCTACCAGGAACTTCCACATACCACTTGTGGCTGTGCGATTATAATTGAAATTGAAATACTGTACAACAATAACAATAACAATAACAACAAAGAAGATCATTCGTTCTGACACAGGTTTTTGTACAAAACCCACCAGCTTTTGCTTACTTGAACATCCGTTTTTTGGTACGAGTTCTTCTACTGCCTTAGGCCAGAACTCTATCAAAAAACAACTTGAGACCACCAGACTAAGCGCCCAGACCAAGATGATACAATTACTTAGTGATCCAGGTCATTGGGATGCTTAGGGATGCTCTGGCGGCTTAGAACTAGTGTGCTGAATTTACAGTAGTAGTGGGCCAAAATTCCTGCGTTAATTCTAGGTGTAATTTTATTGCGAATTAACTGGTACGCAATTGAATTTAAATAACACGCGACAAACTCATATTTTTAACCGAAAACACGGGAGAAAAAAGATTCGGAGAGGAGTTTTCGTTGCAATGTGTTTGCAAGGGCGCAATTCAAGTCACCATCAACCATCACAACTCCTGAGAGCAAAAATTCCTGATTAAGTTGCTTCCAGCACGGTCTGCATCATATCATTGCAAGAAGCAGAAACAGTACACTTCGCATGGCGATTTCTAGCTTCGACAATAGGAGCGGCGGTGATGGCCCTCCAAGTGACAACCCGATTCTTTCTGCCTATGAGGACTTCAACAGAGAGACACCAATGATGACTAGAACAGTTATGTGGATTCAAGCCGTTGCAAATGCTGTAAACGTGTTTATCGATTTAAACTTAGGACTAGGGAATATTCCGATGTTCACCGTGTACAAGTTTGAGATATATCGAACATTCACGAGCTTTTTTGTTTGCTCCAGTTTCTTCTCGCTGATTTTCTCCTATTTCAGCTTTGTGCCGACAGGCAAACGACTCGAGTACTCGATGGGCTCTACTGAGTTTGCTTGTCTATTCTTCGCTATCGGCGTGCTCACAAACGTCACGTATGTCGGCCTGGCTATATTATTCGACGTTCTGCTGGGAGTCCAGCACTTTCTCGTCACCCCTTCGTCGGGACTTTGGAACGTGTTGTTTGGTGTGATTGCGATGGAGTGCACAAAGGCTCCGCCAGGGTCCGAAAGGAAGATATTTCTCTACACTTTGCCGACAATATATTACCCCCTGGCTCTTTGGGTTATATTTTCATTTCTTAGTGGATTTTCTATCACGCATTTGATGTCTATCGGTATTGGTTATGGTTTTGGCTATGGGTATTTGGAACGTTTTAGAATCAGCGCATCGAGGTGCCAAGCATGGGAGGAAAGATATTTGCAGAATTTCATTAGTCAAGAGAGAAACTGGATAGTTTCTAATACAGCAATGGGATCTGGAGCGTGGAGTGAAGAAGTGATAGCCCATCAATCAAGTGGGCAAAATAGCTCGGGTGGATTTTTTTCTAGATTGACCTCACAAATGCGACAACAAGAGCAGCAGATGTCTGGAACACCCGAGGTGTCGATGGGATCAGATGATGCAACTGCATCCGGAGCTCCTAGACCTGGGCGGGTGATCAAGCCGTCTCCGACAACAAACCATCAAAGGAATCCTAATGCGTCAACTTCTGCTATACCAACCTCGGGCGGACAACAACTCGGAGGATCGTCACGGATGCAAAATATAGATCCTCGGCAAGCGCGACTGCAAGCTCTTGAACGAAGAATAGGAAACACAAGTGTGGGATAAACATCAATCAATTCAATGGCTATGTATATTATTTTACAACCTTCATGGACTGCTGAAAAGTAAAAACGCTTTTCTCGAATCTATCTGCTTCATTTGGTGCATCGTTAGCTTGTTCGTTCGTAGTACATGAACAAACCACCATGAATGTGTCACTGTTACCGTATTCTATACGATAGGAAGGCTCCCGCTTGCTAGTGCACGTGCAGTCACTCCTCGATTCAACAAAGAAGACACACGGTTTTCGTGATTTTATGAATTAGACCACCCAAAACAATGCGCTTTCGAAATGGAAAGTCACGGTAACACTGCAATGTTCAAAATTGGTCTGAATTAATGAAAATTTGCATTCAGATGATGGCGCTTTCTCGTTAGTTCGGTGTCTTTTATCGAGCTATGACTGATCATCGTTCTTCATCGATTTCGAAACACTCTTCGTGTAGTAGAGCTCAAAGGTCTCTTGGGTTTGCTAGAAAGAATACCTGCTAGAAAGTCATCTTCGTCGTCAGCAGCAGAGCTCGAAGGTCTCTTGGATTTACCAGAAAGAATACCCGCTAGAAAGTCGTCTTCGTCGTCATCTTTCAATAGACCTGACAAAGACTCGGAAACAGCGTTCTTCCTTTTTTCTTTTTGTTCTCGTCTCGCCTTTTCCACGTCGTGTTTCTTGAACGCAAGGGTTCCGTCCCTCCTATAATAAAACGGAGAGAGCTCCGAACCATGTTTCCGATCCGCAAGAGTCCTTCTTGGTTTGGTTTTGCGTTGCTTACTAGGTGAAGCATCTTTTTTGTGATCACCATCAGTCTCCACCTCTTTCCTAAGTTCATCGCTCTGCCCCTTCAGTTCCTCGCCTTCCTCCATGTCCAAGTCGACGCTATCGTGCAACGTAACCGAGGCTTCAAACGACTGCAAACTCCTGATACTGCTGACAGGTTTGGGTTGACGCAATGGCGACTCCTTGATGGAACGCACTGACGATGGCGATACGGTTGTCGATGGATCTTCAGATCGATCCGAGAAAGATGTCGGTGGTATATCTTTCTCAGAATTCTCATCTTGTTTTTCTGCTTTTTGCTTTTTGTTATTTTTCTTCTTTTTCTTTGGCTTAGATTTTTCTTCTTCGTTGTTTGTTTCTGTATTCTCTTTTTTCTCTGGTTTCGTTTTCGTTTGGTTTTCAGTCTGTCTTCGGTACAGTGGATCTTCGAACAAATCATCCCAAGTCTTATAGCCTTCTTCGGCATCTTTCAAACCTATTTCATGCGCTTCTTTTAGCAGTGGTTTTGCATATTCTGCATACATTTCGGCGATTGCTTCTGGATCTTCTATTCCTTCGTCCCATTGATCTTCTTGCTCGTCCAACACCGCGTCGATGGAGTTGATCATTTTCTGCGCTCGAAAGTCCGCCAGCTCTTCTTCAACAATGTGCTCCAGCCCACGAACGCACAATTCTTCTCMATTGATGCTCGTTTTCCCATCTCCGATCAGCGCAGCGATTTTTGAAACGTCGTCTGACATTTGGTTGAAATCATCCTTGTCGTACCACCCATCGATTATCTCCTGGTCTAAAAAGTCCGAAACGTGCCGTATTGTTTTGAATTGCACCCGGTTGTGAAATCGGACCCTTGTTTGTCCATCATCACACGTCAGAGCCGTCATTTTTTATTCTATGTTTAGAGGCGACCCTAGCAGGTATGGTTTTGTGAGAATAAAATGCTCTCGATGATGATGATCCCTCTCAACAAGTCGATACCAGAGTGGATCCACCAGAGGAAAATTGGGAGAGCTCTCGTTTTTGTCTTTTCTCCAACTGTAAACAATCCGAATAGTATACACCCGTATCAGCTGGTTGGTTTGTGCACGTATTTGGAAATCTCTATCAACATGTGTGAAGTTCGAGGAGATGTGAAATGGTTATCTAGACGTCGGTCGGAAAGAGTTGTGCGTAAGAAACAACGAAGTACCTACGAATTGATAAATGAATTTACAGTAATTTTCTTGAAGGTAAATTCTTGTATCATAGAGAGCGATTTAGGCAGATTTACATAACCATTGTATGTGCTGGAGTTGATAAGAAGGTTACGATTGAGGTTCTCGCTGTAGAGACATTTATCATGTCTCTCGAAACTATCATTCTTTTCAAGGGCAAGATTGACTAAGGGGCTATAGTTTTGGGAGATGAGGCGACAAAGTACCGGTAGCATGCAAGACTAAGCGGATAAGCCAAGAAAAATTAAACTTCCATTTAACGGATTCTTCTTTTCTAACTGCGATTTATTCTTTCTTAAAAACATTTCGACCAGAATATGATCAAGGACAGTCGACTGGTTCGACTATCGAGGCAACATTACCGGTACAGAAAAGTTTTTTGTACCGTACTGGTAGTACTTTACCGTACGTACTGTACCTCAACTACAATTACTCCTGGGGAGAATCACGTTACTTTTTGTACTAGAGTGACTCTTATGAAAATCAATGATTTTGGCTGTTGAAACAAATTATCGGAAATCGAGTCTTGGGAGGCGTTATATCTCAGTCCCATCACGAATGTGTTTGTACGCACAATAGGTACCAGTTTTTGAAACAGTACAGACGGGCGGTTAAAAGCGCCCCTTGGTGGGAGTCGGGTGCAAACGCTGTGCGCGAAGACACCCCGTTCGTTGGGGGAGCTTTTTCCAATGAAGAAAACAGAATTTGCCGTGGCATCGGATCTCCGGGGATTTCGATGCAAGAATGCTGCCCCTGCCGTAGAAGGAATACAGCAATCGAAACAGCAGCCGCAATAATAACCAAAGCTGCGCAGTTCATAACCGCGTCGATAGCATTCGCGACGCAGGAAAGCCCCGACAAGTGGACGATTTCAAAACTAGCAACTCACTATAGGATCCCGATAGTGACGAGCTGTACGACAATATAATACATCGTCCCACTGTGCAATCTAATTGAAGTTAAGCACTGGTAGGGTACGGGATCATGTCTTCTGTTCCCAACAACGTCGGCGGGAACAGCAACATGGGGCCTCCTCCCAATCAGCAACCACGGCCCCCGCCACCGGGGGCTAATACGCACCGCAAATCCTCATCGCTGAATCGAGGTTGGTTCGAAGGAACGAAGGAGCTGATTTCGGGAATGGCTCCGAGGCCCGTCACTCCTTCCCAGCACCAAATCCTGAAATCCGCGAGCGCTCCGAACTCACCGGCGCGTGGACTCGGGCTGGGGATGTTTGGATCCGGTCGAAACAGTCCCCACCATCACTTCCCTCCCCAAATCGACCGTACGAACAGCGGTGGCAGCGTCGGAGGAGGCAGTGGCATCAATCTCCCTAGTTTTTCGAACACGATCAATCGCCTGCCCTCGCAAGATTCCCTGGATCGGTCCATCCATAACGAATCGGGACATGGAAAATCGACCGCCCAGATCATAAAGGATCTCAAGCATTCGAACTCCGCTCTCACCGCTAGGATGGCGTCGCAGGACAAGCACCACATGAACGAAATGGCTCAGGTCCAGAAGGCAGCGACTTCCAGAATAAACAAGTTGGACCTCACCAATTCGAAACAAAAAATGAAATTGATGCAATACGAGAATTACAAAGCTGCAGCCGAATCGAAAATGAAGCAACAAGACGCGGAATTGACGAAGGTCAAAGAGGAGTCAGCATTTCAACGCCATACCATCAGCGGTCTAAAAAATGAGCTCTATCAGTTGCAACAAAGATTGGACGAACAAGAGGAAGAATACGGAAGAAGATCAAGCAATGATGACGTCGTGGTGGTTGATGATCATGAGCTTCGACGGCCGCATTCCGGTGATGGTCGCAATCTGCCCCTTCATCCGAGTCATAGTCGAAGCAACAGCGGAGGAAGTCTTGGTCTCGTTCCCACTTCCAGTAGTGTTTCCACCGAGGAGCTGCAACAAATGTCCCTGGACAACGAGGAACTCGTGAAGGAAATACAGGAACTTCAAGACCAACTCATGGAATACCAGGGATACGACAAGAAATTAAAAGACTTACAACAGAAGTTGGAATCTGCGCAACGAAACGCCAACGGGAACGATGCGGGAATCCCACCCCGTCCGACCACCCCGACGCATGCCCTGCAGAAAAACCAACCCGAGCGAGAACGTCCACCGCTCGCACCCTCCAAATCTCGAGATCAGGAAGAACTACAACAGCTGCAAGACGCCAGAGGTGAAATCGAAGTGCAGAAACAGAAACTTTTGCAACGGGAGTCTGCTGTGCGAGATCTAGAGGCAGAAAAGGAAGCCTTGATCATCGCCAACGAACAACGCGTTCAAGAACTAGAGGATCGATACCTGGATTTGGAAGAAGAGTTCAAAGAACGAGAGATGGAGTTGAAAAAGGAACTGGCATCGAGTTCGCAAGAAAGCGCGGACGAAATAGCGGTACGAGTACGAGAAGAACAACAGGTACAGATTGTCGAGCTAGAAGAACAACTCGAACAGTACGCCGAAAAATTAGCCGAAGTCGCTGCAACTCTCGCTGAATCGCGACAGCAAGCAAAAAATCAGGAACAATATCGAAAGGACGAAGCCGAGGACTTGAGAATGATTCAGGATGCGCACGAGGCCGAAATAGCAAGGTTGGAAAAAGAGCTCGATGAGGCAAGACGGGAATTGGAAGTTCGCGACGACGAACTCGAAGAAACGAAGCAAAAGCACATGGCGTTGTTGCAGCAGCAAGAAAAAGAAGACGAAAAGAAGGTAGAAGAAACGGAGGCGAAAGTATCCACGACGAAGGCGGACACGGAACAACCCTGTGATGGGACCACGAATTTAATCTCGAGTTTGGAAGAGGAACTTTACAGCTCTGCCAACACTGTTAATGCACTGGAGCAGCAGCTTGAAGATCTGCGAAAAGAAAGGGACGAAACGGTCGCAATTCTACAGGCTGAAAATGACAAGTTATTGGGCAATGCTACAGGAACTGATAAGAGCCACGATTCTGATGGGTCTGACCTTCATCAGTTGTGGGAAGCCAAAACAAGCAAAACCAAGGAGGTAGAAAGCCTCAAAAACGAGATTGAAGACTTGAGGCATCGAGTGCAAGAGAATGCTGAGACGGCGAGGGTAGCCGAGATGAAAGCACAGGACATGGAGAAGAAATTAAAGGAAAACCAGTCAGGCCGAGCTGCAAATGAGTCGGATTCGAATGAATTGGAGGAGAAATTGAAACTAGCGCAGAGTCAAGTCTTTGACTCTCACGAAGAAATCGCTATATTGAAAGAAAAGCTCGAAGAATCGCGTTCTCTTTCGTTTGAGAACGATAAGAAGCAGGATGCATTGCGAGAAGCTCAAGTTGCACTGCTTTCTTTGGACGACGAGAAACAAGCTCTATGCGATGAGCTTCATGCTTTGAAATATTCTATGGAACAAGAGAAAGCAGTTCTTCAAAACGAAACAAAAGCTCAATTGGAAATGAAAGATCGAGAATTGGCCGAGCTGAAAAGCGTGAATGCTCGCATTGGACCTTTAGAAGACGAAAAACTTCGTCTCGAAGAAGAGGTCAAACAATTGAAAGAGAGAAATAGCTTTTCCGAAGACAATTCTGCTAGTGTCTCATCTAGATCCGTACGCAATAAGGATGAAGGATCGCAAAAGGATCTTGAACTACAAATCGAAGAGCTCAAAGAAGAAAGGAACCTTATCAATTCAAAATTGAAGGACAGAGACACTACTATCGCCACTCTACTTCGCTCATCGATTGTTCTCGAAAAAAAGATCGAGGCACTCGACACGGAGCTAAGGGAATCCAGAAAAATACAGGGGAAGGCCCTCGACGATGTGAAAGAATTACGAAGCATTGCCAGTACTCACCAAGAAGACTACTCGAAGGTTTGCGAGGAGGTGAAATATATGAAAGGGCAGCTTAAGATAGCTAAAGCAGATGCAAAACGCTGGAAACGATCTCTCCAGGATGATGGGAGACCAAGTAGTGAATATCGATATCAAATCTCGATGCTACAGAAGGCGAATGAGAAGTTTGCAGAGACAGTTCAAGAGCGCGATCAAGCGATACAAAACCTTGTAAATCAATCGATGGGACACGATAAGCACGTTCGGGACTTGAAGATAAGGATATCGTCACTGATGAAAGAAGTCGAATCAGTACGTATGAATAAAGGAAGAGGCGACGAAAGCGCTCTCAGGGCTGAATTAGATCGGTTACAAGAAGAAAGTGAAATATTTGCAGGGCAAATCATAGAACAAGACGAAGAGTTTAAAAGAATGCAACGAGTCATGAAGAATCGCGATGAACAAATTAGCTCGATGAAGTCGAAGATTGAACAAATGCAAGAAAATACTATTCCAGACCGTTCTGCCATTCAAGAGAGAGACCGCGTGATATCGGAGCTTCAGAAAAAGATTCAAATCCTGGAGAAACAGCAGACTGAAAGCACCAATGATATTGATCCAATCGCAATGAAAAATTTGCAAGCGGAACTTGATGAGATGCAGGAAGCCGCTGAGTCCAACCGTGTTGAGCTTAGAGATCTACGTCAACAACTTTGGGATGCCAAAGACGCAGCTGGCTCTGCTCATGATCTTCGAATAGAACTGAAACAGGCAAGGTGGGAATTCGATGAATACAAACGGAATATTTCTTCGGAACAGTTATCTGGTAACCAGAACGGATTGCAGGCCGATCTTGATAAAGCTATCTCTCGAATCGAGGAGCTGGAAGTTATTATTTCAGATAATCAAGGAATGGAAACAAAGTTAAATGAGCTAGAGAACGAACTTCAAGCCCGAGATATAATTATCAAAGAGTTAAGAGAGCAGTTATCGAATGCATTCTCCAGCGGTGAAGTTTCGAGCTCAGGTCTTGACAAAAAGAGCGATGGGTTAGAAGCTGAACTTCAATTGAAGGTTGAAGAAGTTGAGAGATTGAATCAAAAGCTTAGTGCATCGCTAATCGAAGTTGGCGAAGTCCGTGATCTTTTGCAGTCGAAGACGGATATGGTAACGGATCTAAACGAGCAAGTTAAGGGATTGAATGTTGAGATTTCTGAAACTCAAGGTCAACTACGAGCGAGTGCATCAAAAGCTGAAAATCAAAGCAAAGCACAGCAAGAGGCAGAAGCAAGTCGTGAGGTCATCGAAGCTAAGATAGAAAGTGTGAACTCACTCACGAAGGAAGTGGGTGCGTTGCAAAGAGACGCGGAAGACTTGCGAGTTTTAGTTAAAGAAAAAACAGTTAGAATCGAACAGCTTGAGTACGATGTCACCGTCTTGACACGTGATATCAACGACTCTGAAAAACAACTCCAGATGAAGACTAATGCGATCTGCGATCTTCAGGAACGCCTCAGAACAAATGAAGCCCAGCTTAAGGAAGCTAGTGACCTGAAGTTGAAGCTCGGAAGCGACCTAGCCGATAGTCAAGCGAGACTCGGCGCGCTTGAAAAAGAGCTATCAAATGCAATCACAGAGACTTCTAGTAATGAAGAGTTAGCAAGGAAGAACCAGTCTCTTGTACAAGAGAATGCCTCTCTAGCCCAAAAGAATAAATCGCTTGTTGAAGAGAATGCTTCCATTGAAATCACAAACGGAAGTCTGATGGAAGAAAGCGAAACGTTAACAAATGATAACCAGGTTCTTTGTCTTGAACTCCAAGCATTGGGTGAAAAGAACCATTCTCTCAGTCAAGCGAAAGATAGTCTTCAACATGATGTTGGCTCATTGAAGATCGAGAAACAGTCACTTGAAAAGCAGAATGAGTCTATAAGTCGTGAGAATGAAGAACTCGGTGAAAGGGTTACATCTCTCAGTGAAAATGTCGTTGAGCTCAATAGGTGCAACGATTCGCTTCGCGAAGAGGTCAGATCCATTTCTACCATAAAGGAAGAGCTTGCTACTTTGTCGAAGGCAAATAATTTGTTGACGGAAGAGAAGAGAAGCCTCGTCGAGGAAAACAATGCTCTTACTGAAACCGTTGGAAGCCTGAAGGAAAAGAATATCTCTCTCTCAGAGAATGGGGTAAAAATGGAAAAAGAAATCGAAGCACTGAAAGCTGACATGGAGATGCTTTCTGAAGGTTCATCTAAACTGGAAGGGATGAAGACACAACTTCAGGAAGAACAGAGGCAAAGAGAAGAAGTCGAAAAGGCTATTATTGCAAATTATGAGAAACAATTGTCTTTGTTATCATCAAGCAAGGATTTAGAGATGGATAGTCTTCGAAACAGCTTGACTGAATCAAGGGAAAAGCATTCAGAAGCCATAGAAGATATGATTGAACAACTCAAGAGTATGGAGCACGAGAATGGAGATATGAGAGAGCAGTTTGAATTCGAAATGGAGGCGAAAAACCAGCAAATATTTGCACTCGAGCATACTCTACATGCTMAAGAGCAAATAGTTGATACGATGAGATCTGAAATGGATCAAATACAAAGCGGAATGGAGCATGCAACCAAAGCCCGTCGAGGCGAAGTCGAAGAAATTCAGCAAGAAGTGATGCAGATGGAAGAAAAGGCAATGAAACAAGAGCGAGAGATTGTCGCACTCAAAATGCAGTTGGAAGAGAGAAAGCTTGAACACAAGGCTGATGTCGTCAAGCTGAAGGATGCACTGGCAAAGGCAATGGAGCAAGACTTTCCTCTAAAACAAACAATTCATGATCTTCAAAACAATGATCGAATGTTAGAAGTGCGAGAACGACTGGAGCAACTGAAGAAGAGAAACACGGATCTTCAGGAAGAAAATCTCAATCTTGGAGGTCGTCTAGAACGAGCAGCGATTCAGATCAATGCATTTGACCTAGAGAAGCAGCAAACAGAGGAAATCGAAGAAGAAAACATGAAGCTACGAAAGCAACTGAAAGAATACGAGCAGCTACTGAGTCTTTCTGCAAAGTCATCGAGAAGTACATCCGCTCCACAATCAAGTACTTCGCAGAAAGAAATGACCATGAAAACAAAGGAGAAAAAGAAAAAGAAGTTTGGTCTTTTCAAACGAAGAGGGGTTGATGGTCCAATATCAGAAGTTATCGAGGAAGATGAATGTTAAAGCATAATTCATTATTACATACTGAATATTTACAATACTCAATTCAATACGGTGTACAATTAAATTATGTGTAAAACGAGGGAGCAAAGATTTATTCTTTGCGCGACTGCTCGTAATCCTGGATCTTGTCTAAGAGACCCTTTGCTCCGTCCACAAACATACACTGTGCTACACCACAAAGAACTGTGAAATCTCGTTCTCGCCAATACGCATAATCGTTAGCATTCAAAGCGAGGGTTCCCACAGCAATGGTACCTCTATTATCACCTTGTTCTTCATTGAAACGTTTGACTTTTTGACCTGCCTCCTCTATCTTGCTCAGAACGTCAGGATGACGAATTTGTCCATGCAGCCCCATATTGGCACTTAAATCTGTTGGTGCGAAAAAGATCATATCTAACTCCGGTACTGCCATGATCTCATCAAGAGCATCCAAACCTTTTTGATTTTCAATCAAAACACCAACGATGCTGTTTTTATTTGCTACTTCGATACATTCTGAGAGAGGCACATTATTTGAGGAGGTTGGATTACAAATACCGGAAGTCGTCGCAAGGCCCCAGGCGTTCCAACGCTCCCCGGCTAGACCCCTTTGACCAAGTGGGGGGAATTTGACAGCCTGGATGATTCGTTCAACATCCTCCCCTGATTCGCACTGGGGAAGTAAAATCCCCTGCGCCCCTGCTACCAGATATTTCTGAATGTGTCCGATTATATTTTGATATCCGTAACCAATTCTCACAATAGTTGGCAGCCCTCTTCGTTCAGCGGCAAGAATCATTCTAGCAATGTGGTCTGGGCTAGCACTAGAGTGTTCTGCATCAGCCCAGAGGAAATCAAACCCGAGCAACCCGAGCATTTCAACATGATCCGTATCACTATACTGTCCCGAAACTACTCCTGTAAGATGCAAGTCATTGCGCAAACGATATTTGAGGCGGTTGTTGTGGAACGAATGGGAACTCGGATAATAAATGCATGGTTCTTCCCCTGACCTCTGTTTGAAATCATCTTCGCTGAAAATTCTGTCTTCGCCGCCCCGACCGCTGTTGTTTGAATAAAAACAACAAATATTCCTACTAGACAACGACCTTCTTGAGAAAAAAAGGGGATGCGACGGCGAAAATGACGCAACTGTTGCCATCAACCTCATCATTTTTGGAATCAGTATCATCTTGGTCTCGCAGCTCCAGCGTTCCGTGATAGTTGCTGAGATTTTTGCTCATTTTGCATTTTGGTCTTCGGATTGAAGAGGATTAGGTATTGAAATCAGAAAAATGAAAAATGCTTCGCATCGCAAGGCCGTTGACCCGATTCTCTAAAAACAGAAAGTATCATAAAATCTTCCCTTGTTGGATACAGCCTGTTGTTGTTGCTATTGTTTTTTCTTCTAAACCACTCAGTCAATTGATCCAAAACTTCTGGATTGTTGCAAGTTTAATATAGTAACAAAGAGGTTTGGGACTCTGGTTGTATCAGCTCTGGAGGGGAGGATAGTGTTTGAAGGATGGAATGGAGTTTTACAGTACTGTTTGTTCTAAACAACCACTCAGTCACCAATTGATCTGCAACTTCTAGATCCTGTGTATAATTTGTGTCTTTTATGGAGGTTGAGGTGTTGAACTGGAGGGGAGACAGTTCCCTGTGCTGATGGTTGTTTTGTCAATGATGAGATTTTGAATTTTTAGTGCACAGAGAAATCAGCAATCCAGAACCTAAATCCACATTGCAATATGTGTTCTTGTGAAGAAGAGAGAAAACCCTTTCCCACTAACAGATTCTTGGACATTGCTTGGGCCTTTTTGGTAACAAATGGAAACTAGCAAAGTGTGTTAATGCTACTGAAAATGGCTTGCAAAATGATGACTCATAACCTGATGAAAATGGAGGATGATAAGACACCAGTTCCTTGTATTTGTACCAATAGTACTACATATCATCAAAAATCATAAATTGGATTCTTTAGTCCAGGTACTTCCTCTTTTCCACTATGACCATCTGCTGACTCCAATTTTGCTATTCCTGTTTGAAATTTGCCTTATTTAGTACTCAACACTTTTCAATATTTTCATTTAGCTACTAAACCCCAATAAAATATGACTGAGTACAACAAGCAGACTCAGTACCTGCAACGGATATGTACGTACTGTATCGAAAGTATGTACGTACTATATTGGAGGAAGCATACGTACATATGATGCTCCCTTGGAATAGGTGGACATACCATTCCTACCTATATATCGTAAAGTACTATTTGTATATATATATCATACAATCCAACGTGCCAAGGATCTTAAGAGGTCCAAGATACCATTTGAGAATACCTCACGAAGAACAAAGATGTCAGAAATCCGGAACGGAAGAACCCTCATGTAATAGAAAAAATGAGCATGTGCGTGATCAAAATTTATTTTTCACGCACAAAATTACACATACTATGATATACACAGCAAATGTAATTTTGACAACGGTGTGGTAGACCTCTTTCAAACAAGAAATGACCATACAAAAAAGTTCTTCAAACAAACACTTGTTCTTATTACAAGTGCTTGTTAAAGCTGGCTTCCTATTGCTCCAAGTCTGATCCTTAAATGACTGGTAGAACCCTTTCAACCACCAGTAATATGAAATCTTCATACTAAAACAGGCCCTGTCTGAATAATTTTAATATCATATACCATAGCCCTGATCACATCATGCAATCAACACAACTGCTGTAAACACATTGTATAGATCTATCAAGTACTTCCTCCATCTGACAATGGCTGTCCAGTGACTCCAATTTTGCTGTCCATTTTTGAAAGTCCCCGTATTTACTTCTTAACACTCACCAAATAGTTTCATTTAATTTCCAATAAAATATGATTGTGTGCAACACATAGAATCAGTACCATAGATAAAAATGAGCATGTGCTGCACTGGATAAAAACTATTCTTCCTGCATGAAGAAGTTATACAGTGTTTTAACAAGAAGAAGGGAAACAAAACAATGTTGAAAATGGTACCGACACCTCTTTTGAATACAAATGCTGTAACCAATATTAGAAAACAAGCAATACTTATATGAAATATAGCCTCAAATATTACATGATTATGGCTATCATGTAGTAGTACTACCACAGGCAGCGGCATATTAATGTGACCATTGGAACCCTTTCAACCAGTAGTAAAGTCAAAATGACATGAAAAGTTGCACTGTTTGTTATTGGTGCTGATACAACATTGAAAGGCATAACAGATTTGAATAGTACTGTATTAAACAAGATCAATAGAATAAAAAAGAACCATTCAAATTGACCAAAAATTGAACTAAATATTTTAGTAGTAAGTTGGTCAGGGGATGGTCATTTCAGGACAAGAAAAAAAAAAGCTCAAATATTGAGCTCCTTATTCCAATTTTACACGTCTTATGGGACTCTCATTTTGAGACGGAGGAAGTCCTTCCCTGGTAGTCGCAAACTTGAAAGACTGGCGATCGGGCCGAAGGCTACAAGACCGCGCCAGACAGTATGAACGGTTATTTGCAGTCATATTTTTCTCCGTTGCCGCCAATAAATTTGATATTTCAGATTTTCCCTCGACAGATAGACGTCAAAATGCAAGTTTCAAGCGCCATAATTAGACGAAATGCATCAATCCGATTGCACTATCCTTTTTCACCATGGTGCGTATCCAAAATAGACCAAGACCAGGCGACTTTGCCGGTCGAGAGTCGTCCTTTGAGTCTTCGTTGTCGGGGGATATGACGCCGAAAACCAACTACACGAAAAGGACACTCGATACATCGTCGTTATCGAGTTTGGATACATCGAAATGGCATCTTCCGAATTTGTCGAAGGAAGACGAACTGGTGCTACTGCGCCGACGTATACAGGCGTACGAGAGATGCGAGGAACAGCTCAATATTGATTTGGTTCGGACTAAAAGGGAATTGGAATCTTGCAAGGAAAGTGTCATTAGATGGAAAGAAGCCGTGCGTGGAGATGTTCGCCCTGGATCTCATTATCGACAAGAAATTGTCTGTCTGAAACACGAGCTCGATGAAAAGAACGGCATCATTCAACAGAGGGACACTACCATACAAAATATGATGGCAGGGGGTAGCCATCCTTCCTTTGTAGAGCATCATGAAATAAATGAAACATCAGTGTGCTCGTCGATATTGGACGAAGCAGTAGAGAATCCGACTGCAAGAGAGATGGAACGATTGCTTTTAGAAAACTCAAAATTTGTGTATAGGCTCCGTGAACKGGACGAAGAGGTGATTAGGCTTCGAAATCAGATTACATTGTTAGAGCAGGAACGCATCAATTCGGAACTTTCACCATTATCGATGCCGTTCAGCCCCTTTCAAGAAGATGAACAAGAATCGAGCACTTACCAATTAGGTACAGCTAACAACTCGTACGGTCATGGCGACTCTTTGCGCACGACAAAGCGACTCATGGAGTTGCAGAACGAGCTAAGCAAGAGAACAGAAGAGGTAGATTATTCTTTCCAATGCAAACTCGAACAATTCCAGGATGAAGCGAAGCGACTTCGTATGTCACAAGCGAAGAAAATCAGGGGCATGATATCAGAGCTTAATGGAGCTAAACTTGCGCTGCATGCTGCTGAAGTAAAAGCAAAGGATTCTGCGTCGGCAATAGCACATCATAAAGCAACGATCAGAGATATGAAAACAGAAATGAGGAAACGCGATGCAGCCATTCTCGAGCTCAGAAAGGCGATGAAGCAGAAGAAGGAATCAAATCTCTCAACCCAACAGGTTGAAGTTCAAGAATTAAAGCAGGCACTGGATGAATCGCTCGAGGAGCTTGAAAATGCCACAAAAGTTGCCACTGAGCAAAGAAAAACGATCCAAAATTTAAGAAAGGAATCAAATGACAATGAAATAAATTATTTACAGGTCCAACGTTACCTGGAAGTTGAAACTGAAAACCTCGAAAACACTAAGAAAGAATTGCTCAAGCAAGAATCCAAGATGAAAGAAGTAAACAATTCCAAATCAGAGCTTGAGGAGACGATGTCAAGTGATGTCGAAAGTCTGAAAAATAAAATACAATTGAGAGAAAACAAGATAGAGCGTCTACAGCAAGATTTGTTTTCGACAGACGCGCAAAATCACAGTCTTGAGTTGAAGCTGGTTGAGAAAGAAACTGAGATCAATGAACTTAATCTATTGTTAAGAAATCTTAGGCCTACTCTTGATAGCGAAAGGAAAGGAAAAGTCGAGGGAAGGGATACCAGAGCAAACCTTCAGGAAAGCTTGAAGAAAGAATATGAGTATTTGCTTCAAAAAACGAACCGCCAGAACATTCAGCTTCACAACACAGACAAAATTTTGCTCGAAAAGGAGCAAGAGAAAGCGAGGTTGAAAGCTTCACTGGAAGAATTATGTGCTAAACTTGACAGATTTGAAGCTGAAAAAGATGCTTCAGAGAGGAAGATTGTAGATGAGAATGATGAAATTGTTTCTCGTCTTCAGGAAGAGAGAGATAGCTTACGGAGATCTTTGGAGCAGAAGCTCGCTGACCAGGACGCCATGGTGAAAGATGTCACTATATTGCAAAAACATCTCGAGGAGAAAGATCGTGAAGTTGGTAATTTACGAGAAACACTCAGGTCAAATACTAAGACAATCGAGTCACAACTTAGTAAAATACAAGAGATCGAGAAATTGTTGGTCGTGAAGGACAAGAGGATTGCTGATATTGAAAGAATGAAGATCGAGTCAAGGACTGAAAATAAATCAGAGTCCATCGAATCGAAGGAACAAAACCGAGGAATCACGAAAGAAATAAAAGATAGAAATCAGTCTTCGACGATGGATGTTGAATACAACCGTCGCACTTTCAACCAAATGCAAGATCAGTTGATATTAAAGGATGAACAGATAGCAAGACTTCAAGCCAACGAAAAATCGAGAGACGATTTACTGCAGATGACGCTGATAGACCAAATATACGACGATAAAGAAAAGGTAGAACTTCACAGTATTTTAATGAATCTCAAGAAAGAAAAGGTGGAACTCACTGATTCCCTCGCCAAAGCTCAGAAGGAACTAGATGTCAAAGCCAGCATAGTATTGACGTTAGAGAGTCGAATCGAAACAATTACTACGAAGATGAAAGATAAACAATATGAGATGGATATATTGGTGAAAAACTTTGGTCAACTTGGCGAGAAAAATGAAGTCATTGAAAAAAGGTGTCAATGCATGGACAATGTTGTCAATCGTCTAGCCCAGGAGATTCTCCATATACGAGAGGGACTCGTTGGCGAAAATTGTGATATTGAACCCATTGCAAAATATGTCGAGATGCTACTAGATATTTATGCTGCTGCTTGTAACGGCAACACGGCAACGAACGACATGATAAAGGAGCTAGAAACAACGAGGGTCGAGCTTCTTAATGCATTGAATTCCCTTTTCGAAAATAGCCGAGTATTACACCAAAGAGAGGAAGTTTTTGATAACAACTCTAACGAGCTCTCGAGCCTACGAGAGATCAAGAAGGAAAACAAGTCGTTGGCGGAGATGGTAGTGTTGATGACAGAAACACTTCACACAGAGCGAGAAGAAAAAGAAAATGTCGAGCGCAATCTTGCAAGGGAAACAAGAGTTATGAAGGAAAGTATGGAAGCCATGGAAGTTAAGAATAGATGTTTGGAGAAAGATATGATGACAAAAATATCATCTCTTGAAAAGTTAAATGGCGAGGTTCAAGCAAAGACTGCAGAAGTCAACAATCTTCAAAATGAGATCGCACGGAGAAATAATCTGATGGCTGAAAATTCCTCGTTGAAGACGCAAAATGCACGCATAAAGAAATGTATAGATGAACTTTCGAATGAAGTTCAGGATCTGAATGGAAAATTAGCCAAAATAACCATTGCAAACGAAGATAGTTCATCGCTGAAATCAAAACTTGCAGAAGCTAAGAAATCAGAAAATGAACTAGTGACCTCATACGAGCGTCAAATCTCTTCTCTCACAATGAATAAAGATGTGACGATCGATACTCTAAGGAAAGATTTAGCGGCATCGAGGTCGCGAAGTGCCGAAGAGGTAGCTCGTTTAACGAATGAATTGAGTGAAATGCGAGAGTTGAATAGCGATCTTGAGAGGCGATGCAATGAAGATTCCATGCGAGTGAAGGACCAGAGAATACATGCTTTGGAGCACACACTCTGTGCTCAAGAAAAGACAGTAGAATCTCTGCGTTATCAGCTTGATCAAGTACAACTAAGCATGCGAGATGTTTCTGAACAGCGCCGGAAAGACCTTGAGGAACTACAAAGCGAGTTGATGGAGAGTAAGTCACGCGCAATGGATCAAGACAGAGAAAACACATGCTTAAAAGTTAAACTCGACGAATGCAAGATAGAATATGAAAACGAGATCAAAAGGCTGAAGAAAGACTTACCGATTTCAAAATCGATGAAAGACTTAAAGGACACCAACACCATGTTAGAAGTGAAGCAGCGCCTTGAACAGCTTAGGGTGGTTAATATCGAGCTCAAGGAAGACAATATCAAATTAAGTGCAAAATTGKAGAGAGCTCTAATAAAGATTCGAGGTTTGGAAGCTGAAAGTGAGATTTCTGCTGAGATGGAAAAAGAATATGGCAACGTCAGAAAACAGCTAAAAGATTTAGAATGTTTATTGGAACAAAGTATTCAGCACAAAAAACAAAGATCTCGTGCGGAAGAATCTAACTGCAAGAATGAGAACGTGCAAAATAGGACTCGTAAAGGGAAAGGTAGGGGAAAACAAGGGGGTAGCCGAACGAATTTGTTAGGTTGGGGGAAGAGTAAAGTACCACCAGTTTTGGTTGAGGAATCGGATTGAAGCGGGACGGAAGTGAACGCAGGACATTGATAACAACAATCTGTTTCTTCGGCCAAAAGACTAGAGTTAAGTGAACTGGGAAGTTTAAGTTCTGTATTTTCTCTTATTATTTGTGTATTGATAGTTAATATATTAGAATTACGGAATAGGTGTTATCTATTAATACTCCATATATATTCACATTTCAATCCATCCTTGCTTCCTCATAAATTAATTAATTCAATTAACAGTCGTAATTCCTAGCTTACAGAACATTTTGGGGTTCAGTAATATGCTCAAAAAGTAACCAAGGTTAATTTTGTGGATAAATCCTGCTTCCAAAATGTAGATACAGTGAATTATGTTTAGACTAGTACAGTATTTCAATGACTTTCTTTCATTCACTACAAGAAGCATTACTATCCTCTTGCCATACCAAAACAAGTACTATGCACCAGAGGATGATGGCAACAATGGTGATAATAGTAGTAGTATTGTACAATCATACAAGTGTGTTCTAAGAAAATTGTCCAACAATGAGAAGTGGTTTCTGTTGTTCTAAATTTTCTATTTTTGAGGACTGACAGACAACAAATTCAATATGACTTGAGCTATATTTCAGAAATCTGGGTGCAATCTCCCTAATACTACTACAATACAAAAAGAACCTGAATTTCCTAGATTTAGAACCATTGGAACTCAACAAAAATATTAATGAGCTACACATAGAATCAACCAACTGGCTCAAAGATAATGAAACCCATTGAATGGCAACTAGTAATTACAATAAAAATGACTCTCCTAGTTGGAATGATAAAGTAACAAGTAGTAGTACGTAGTATTACTACTCTACAGCTGCTGCTGTAAGAGTAAGTGAGTGAGAAAAAATATTACTGTTAACACTATTTCATCAGGAGTTATCAGTCACACAATATATGCCCCCAACAGCAATGTGAACTGGCAAGGATGCCAAAAAAACTTCAACACTGGAAGATACTTCCAGATTAAACAGTTGATGGATCCAGCTAGCATGTGAATCAAATCCCACCAGTTAAAAGACAAATATAGTCATGTGTGGGGTTATAGGGGGTTATCAATTATTGAAAGCTATTCAGGTCTGTATATCTCAATTTAAAATTTACAATTGGCATCTCCGGAAACGCGTGGCCCATGCTATGATACAATAGATACTACTAGTAGGGTTATCTGCTGATAAATGGATAGGCTCCAACATGAGCTCATGACCCCCAGTTAAAAGATAATTAGTTACTTTTAGAAGTGTACAGAACCTGGCTGAAACTGAGTTATTGACATCATTGAAGACCACTTGCTGAACCACTTGGCCATCATCAAGCTCTGGTGGTTGTAAGTTATGTAGTACTTCCTCTGTCCCACTATAAATTTACATTTTGCACCTTCACAGTTGTCCCAACAATTCATGTCCTCCATCTACTTTATGGATGGTTTCAACAGTTGAATTTAAGAAATGACTGTGCAGAACGTGTAGAGTCAGTACCAGTAGAGACTAGAAATGAGCAAGCACGTGAATTAAAATTATTTTTGCACATGAAATTAAACAGGAGTCTGCTATTAACACACGAAACAATATATTGACGATGGTATGATGCACCTCTTTTGAACAAGAAATCCAATACAGGAACATGCTCTTTCAGTGTAATAAGAATATCATGATAAAGCTATCAGTCTTAGCTATCTATAGCTCCACCTCGGGTGCTTCAATGACCAGTACTAGAACCAAACTGCTGACAGTAAAATCACATTGATAGTATGCCAAAAAAGGCCCTGTTTACAAAACTATCATGAGTATGCCAGACACTTTCACTTAATTCAATTATCATAATTGTATGCATTGATAATAGATCTGTTAAGCACAAAACAAAGCATTCCAATCGCCCAAATATTGATCTTATTCCACTAGTAGTAGTAAAGGAGTTTCAAACTGTACATTTAAAGTGGGACGGAGGAAGTACCGTACTACTCTATCATGTTTCATCTTGCCGAGATTTTTTTGAAATTGAGAAACGACGCGTGACGTCGCGCGACATTTTCCAAGTGTTGAAGATGTTTTCGATCGATGATTTTCGTTGGAAGAATCATCAAAACAGAGAAGCTATCAGTCGCATCATCTTGACAAACGGCAGCGCCTATTCACAATACAAAATAGGTTATCTCTATATTGCCATCGAGAACAGCTCTTCTATATTGCGATACAAAATGAAAGTGATAGGAAGTTCAGAACGAGTCGCTTCCTGGGCGTTTGCTTTGGTTACTCTAGCTTTGTCCTTTTCGATAACGTCGCCGTTCGTCATCAAACAAAATACTCGAACTTCGGCGTGGCCCAGTCGATCAGACGCAGCGGCCACAGATGTTCATGAAGACTCTATGGACAACGAAAGCCGCCGGAATTTCTTAGGAAGAGCTCCGGCATCTGTAATGTCATGCATGCTTGCTCTAAATATTCTGACGTTGAATAATACCCCTGCTATGGCTTCCGACGATGCCATTGAACTCCCGACCAAAGAAGCCGTAACAGAATGTTTCGACTTCATTAGATACGAATTGAACGATCCTAAGGGCGGGGTTGGCTTCATGCAAGGAAGAATCGACGACGGGGATTTCGCTGGTTTACTGGATTTTTCTAAGAGCTATGACTTGGAATTTCGCAAACGCCGATTTGGTAATGCTAAGAAACTATTGCAAGACAAAGAAGCAAAATCCAAGGCGACGGAATATGCGAACGCCGTTACCTTTGACTTGATTGGAATTAATCGAAGTTGTCGAAGTGGTCAGGAAAATTCAGATTCTGCCAACAAGTATTTGCAAGAACTGAGAGACGACGTGAACAAATTTTTAGCACTCGAGACAACAATTCAAGTGAAGCCTTGAACGTCCAGTGGTTGTGGTTGTGATCCATTTCCAGATTGATAGCACACATATTGTGCTATCCTTCTGACTCAAACTGAACGGGAAATAGACGAATTAATACAACTTCGATTGAACATACCTGTTTATAGAATCATCCAGCTTTTTTTCATTATCTACAGTGAGCCCCAAACAGCGAGAATCAAGAGGCAAATAGTACTGCAAATCATTTTTAAAAAGGGGACATTTTACAAGTGATTTTATCTTTTCTTCAATACAAGAATATTAACAGGGTCAATAGTACTTTTTTCAATCTGATGATGATAGAATTCTTGGTTTTGGTTTACTGCATGGAGAGAACTAGGTTTTTTGGAGAATCAGTACCAGCATTAATAGTACTTGGAAGTAATAGAGAGTCAATCCATCATCTGTTTTTCCTCAGTAAACCAACATTCATTTTGATGGAAAATGGGTAGTAGTACAGATGAAAAAGAAGCATCCAAATTGCAAAAGTATTGAGCTCATTTCAGCTGTGGTACAGTACCTACTGTTGAGAATAGAGATCCTACTAGTAAAGGCAAAGCCCATGCTACCACCAAGAAGTTATTGGCAATATCACGGCTGTCAATTTCTTCCTTTTCTCTTCTTAATTCCTCTCCCTCCCCTCAAGTCCCTAAATATTTCTATTAGGAGTCCTCCTTACTACAGCAGATCTCATATCAATGGAAAGTACTTCAAAATTTCCATAGAGCCAGTGAGAAATTCAACAAGAGGCTTCTTGCCTTTAGTAGTAGTAGTAGTAGTAGTAGTAGTAGTAGTAGTAGTACTAGTACTAGTACT